GTCATAATATAAAAAACAAATATTAAAAGTCCCAGTTATGAGGACTCATAAAAGTTGTAATCAAAGTCAAAGTTGTAATTCATAGATATTCTACATTGTTAGATTAAAAAGTCATATTAAGAGAAATAGTTATGTGTCTGTGAGAATAAAAACTTGCAATTGCAAGATATAAAGTCAAAATATCAAATAAAAGTCAAAATGACGATAAATAGAGCTGCAGCTGGTAGATGTGAAGTATGTTTGACGCAGTGTTGCAGAAATGGAGTAACAGATGATCTCTAGCATTCTGGTCCTTTTAAAGGTGGCTACTAACACACCGCTCCGCATTCATACACCGTCTCTTCATGTATTCAACAGTTAAAATGAGTAGCAAGGCTAATAGTGACCTAATAGCTTAAATCTGTGCGTTTGCTGATGAAAAGCCCTCGGCACGGCGGGTAGATCTGTGGGAGGCTTACTGTAAGGAAGCAGGAAAAGCCAAGCTCCCCCCGTGGGAGTTGTTTTTCATAGGGTTGTGCGGTATGCATGTGCTGCTGGGCCAGTTCAGACCAACCTCATGGCTGGCTGGTTAGCATTCCTACCTCATTCTGTAATTACGTCTCCACTCCTACAGAGATCCTCCAGAAGCCTGCTCTAAAAGCATTCATGTCCGTCATTTGAACAACAGAGACGTGTAAACCAAGTGCTTGGTTATTCCATACTGACATGCCATTCAGGATGGTTGATTGTACATAAATAATACTTTAAAAAAGATCGCTACAGTGACATCAACCATATATGAGGCAAAACATTAAAGGGGGGAAGAACTGAGAAATCAAATGTTCACATCTTTTGACATCTAAGAGGTCATCATATTATAAGAATATCCTGTAAGTTTCAAAACTGAAATGTCCTTGTTAGTCCAATAAATGCTTTTATTGACACCAGGCTCAGCAAACGACTCGTTTTTCAAAGTGTTGTTTAGCCCCGCCCACCGATTCGTACATATATGGGCGAATCATTCCGGTTGCCATTTTACAACATTGGACGTTTGAGGGGTAAGTTGAAACTCATTATAATATGCAAAACTGTTATCCACTCACAGCAGTGGGCGTTTACTTCAGTGCCAGACAGCCATAAAACCGAGCGTTTTTGAGCTAGGCTCAAAACTAGGGTAGAAAATAGCCTATTACTTATTAATTTTGATGTTTTTGAATGCAAAAACCAAGCAAACGTCATAAGTTGACCTCAGACAACAATATAATAAAATTTAAAAAGCCAGTTCATGACCCCTTAAAGACCACCTGCCTAATATGCGGTTGGTTTACCGTGTGCTACCAAAACAGCGCCAACCCACCAAGGCACAGGTTTTACAAGACCATTGAAGACCAGTGTCCTGTGGTATCTGGCATTAGCAGAAGATTCTACAAGTCCTGTAGGTTGTAAGGTGGAGCGCCATGGATTGAACTTTTTGTTCCTGCCCATCCCACGCATGCACAATTGGATTGAGATCTGGGGAATTTAGAGGCCAGGGCAACCCTTTAAACTCTTCATCATGGTCCTCAGACCACGCCTGACCAATCTGTGAAAGAGGCCACTTCCACCAGGGAACACATGAATGGCCGAACCCATGGTTTTTTTATTTTTATTATTTGGGTATGCAAAGACGTATGCATGATATGGACACAAATTGCCCTAATTCACTATTAGAAAACACCTGCATCATCCTTTGATAAACATCTTTATATGAATATGCAACAAGATGCATCATATAATTTCTCCACTTGCTATGGCCAACAGGTGGTAATTGTCTCATCCAACATTAACATATTTCTCAATCAGCTTTTCTGAGGATAAAAGCTCCATTTAGTGGCTAGCACTTATTTTAAGTATAGCACTTGATGGATAATAACAGAGACACGGAAAACGAAGGTGTGCTGTACAAAACATCTTTCATTAAGGCTCTTTTCTTTCCTGCTTTTTTTGAGAGCGTAACACTGAATCTACTAACCAAAAATTTCTAATAAGGTCTCACAGTGTGCTCAACTAATAAAGGCTTTTCACTGTGGAGAGTGCATAGGCGTACAGAAACACATGAGTGCAATGTGATGTTCAGGCCGCAGGAGTGCGGATAAAAAGAATATGTCTGGGTTCAGGCTGACCTGGAAGCCACATTCAATGATGCTGACAGACAATAAAAGACAAGGTAAAGGGTACAGCCAATACATGAATACAGAATACAGCTGGGTGATATTTAACTAGCTTATAACTGATTAAGATCTATCTATCTATCTATCTATCTATCTATCTATCTATCTATCTATCTATCTTGAAATTTTCTTCTAGAATGATAATTTTTATCAAGCTTGTATATTTAGTTCAGTAACTTAACTCATATATATATATATATATATATATATATACTGTATATATATATATATATATATATATATATATATTACAAATACATAAGGTTTTAACGTTTTCGAATCTATTCAGTCGATTTTCTGATATTTAGAAGAATTTCAGTAACCAGACAGTTTCTGGTCTCATTGACTTCCATAGTATTTTTTTTTCCTACTATGGACGTCAATGAGACCAGAAACTGGTTCCTGATATTCTTCCAAATATCAGAAAATCGGCTGAATGCATTCGAACTGTTTAACTCTGGGGGAGTTGTAAAATGAGCCTGTTTCCAAAAAAAAGTGGAGTTTCCCTTTAAACAAGATCACATAATGAGATCTACATGGCATGTCAGATTTAAGTAATCAAATCCCCAATCACACCAAATAAAAGGATATTAAACCAGTGTCAAAGAAGGGAACTAATGGCACAGTAAAACGTGCCATTTGAAGCATTGCGAACGACACTGAACAACAAGAGGAAAAACAATTACACAAGCTATGTTGCAAATGGAGAATATATTAGCAGTACGTGTAAAAAACAAAAAAAACAATCTTGGTTGATGTCTGAACAATCTGGCCCATTCATGCAGCACATGCCATGCCTGCAGCCCAGGGATTTAGACGATCAGCTGAGTGCAGCTTCCACTACAATACAACATTGTTCTCAAACCAAACGCTGCTTGTTTGCCTTCAAACTCTGCGGTGCGGCTTATCGGAGGAGCACAGCTCCAAATCTCCCTCTGAGCTTGCAAACTGAAATCAGTGTGTGTCCATTTCCTATACCGCACTGCACACCGTCAAATAAGCACCACGCTTGCCAAAAAGCCTTTTGAAATGCTGTTTTGAACTTTGAACAGGAGCTGATGTAAGAAACAGAGATGAACGGGAAAAGGAAGAGAGGATCTTACACAACTTGAGAATAAACCTTACATAAAATTAAACACTCTAAAACTGTAAAAGAAGTCGACCTTTAGCTTATGTCAAAGTTAAATGTTAAAATACTATTCAAGCAAGAGAAATGTATTTTTAGAGCAAGCACACCGAACTTGAAGTTTAAATTATGAATGTTCAAAATGAAGACTTCATGATTGTCAACAAGTATTAGCAGAACATGAAAATGCTATGATCATTTGTTTGCTAATGTCACTAGATTTGTCTAATGCAATGACACATCATATATTTCAACTGTGACATAAAATCTATCATTTTGAATTCCACATCCCTTTCGATGTGGAACCTGTGAAGCATCACAGCATCAAACAGGGACACTCTTTCCTTTAACACTTATCTACTTCACCTCATCACTGAGATGCATGCGTGTGAAACAAACCATGGCCCGGCTACCTTTGAGACTTTTGTGAAATCTGTGTGTGCTTTGATAAGATTCACTGTAGAATATGTCACCTGTTATTTGTGAACATGAAATGGGTCTAGTTCTTGTCACCCTGACAACTGCAAAATCAACCAAGTGATTTTGTCAACCTTTTCTACTGAAGACAATATTAAAATCATGTTCCGTCTTGTTTTTAAGATCAGAATTCTCTGGAACTGCAAGTCCCAGAACAAGTATACACACACACTGCTGTTCAAAAGTTCAGTCATAGTCAGTACGTTTATTTTTTATTTTTTTTTTTTTTTTTTTTTTTTGAAGCGTTTTATGCCCACTCGGGCTGCATTTATTTAAACAAATTACATTTTTAATTTACATTTAATATAATTTTACAAAAATAAAAGTCATATTTTGAAATATTATATAAAATAATATATTAAAATATAAAGATTTTTGAAGAATACCATTTATTCTTGCGATGACAGCCAAGTAGATTCATCATCAAAATGATCCTTTGAAAAATAAATAAAATGCTGATACCAGTTCTTATCATTATCATTGTTGTCAACAGTTACGCTGCTTAATATTTTTGTGGAAACAGTTTTATTCGGGATTACATGATGAGTAGAAATGTCAAAGGAGAAGCATTAATCTGGAAATACTTTTTTGTGTTTAATAATGTGAAAGTCATTCCGCCACTTTTGCTAAATTTAATACATCCTTACTGAATAAAAGTAATAATTTCTTTAAAAAAACTCTTAATGACCACAAACAGCGGTGTAAATGAGTCTATATACACTGTGTATGTGTATATACTGCTCCCAAAGAAGTCATTATTGTGTGTCAAGCTCTTTTTCCATGACCTTCTTCCCCACACACACAAAATAAAAGTAATTATGTTTAAAAACCCTCCCAGCGCTGCTCACCTGCTGATTATAATTGTGAAAGCTGTGGTCACAAACAATATAAAACAAAACACACTTGCACACACGCATGCTTTTTTTGTTTTCTTATTGACTTTTGTGCACATGCTTTCAACAGCTCAATGTTTTCTTATTTGCTGTTCCACTTTAATACATCAGTGGTTTTTGGCTTGACATTGGAAGGCCTGAAACCACAATAAATCAGCCTGATAATCATCTGCTTTTCACTTACTATGCACAAGAGGAGATACATGCTTTTCCTTAAAAAATTCGCAATTTACTTGTGTAAAAACTGATGCCTATGGCTATGTAAACTAAATGCATTAAACCCCCAGCTCGTAAGAAAACATTAGGCTTACTTACCTATATAGAGAGAGGAGTCTTTCTTTCGCACATGATCATCTATGTAGGACACCCCTAGGGGCTGAACAGGCGTTGCACCGATACCCAGCAGCACCTGGGCTCCTATCAGAAGGAGGTACATCATGTTGGTGTTTGCTCTATTCCCACATGTTTCATCAGTTTTAGAGGCGTTGGAGCACACGTCTCGCCCCAATTCCTTGCTCCATGTGTCTGTGATCAAGTATTGACTGGTGAGGAACTCGGGTAATGCGGAGAGCAGCGCTCCCAAAGCCATGACAATGCCTCCGCAGCCAATTAACCGAGGACGGTGGGCTTTAGCACCAAAATAACTAACAAAGAGAATGAGGGCCAGGTTGCCGATCTCAAAGCTGCTGGCAATGACGCCCACATCAGCGCTCTGAAGATTGAAGCGCCGCTCCAGTGTGGTCAGCACGCTCACCTAAGAAATAAAGCAGAAGAATTACTGTAATGTTAATCTGACAAAGGTAACGGTATTAGGTCAAATATTACCATAAAATGCCATGCATGAAATTGTGTAAATGATTGTATACACATACACATAGAAAGCACGCACACATTTTTTTTAAAGGAGCCGTATGTAAGATTGTGGCCAAAACTGGTACTGCAATCACTTTCAAATGACTGTAGAGCGGTGTATCCCCTCCCCATTCCCCCTAACTCGAGGTTGCCAGATAGGCTGAACGCAGGATCCAACATTTTTTTATCCAACACGTTTGTATGTGCAGCTGTGGTAACTAGAGCAGAGCTGGAACTCAGATGCTGCAACACTACTGACTCTGTGATTGGTAGATCGGTGGAGGGTGGAGCATCAGACCAAAACATAACATCAACATCAGTTGAGGGCTGCAACTTCACTTTTTAGATGGCAATATCCTGGCTGGACTACTGTTGTGATATACGTATTTGAAATAAACATGATTTTTTAATGTCTAGTCACTAGTGACATATCAGGGCCATTTTATGATTATTTGAAATAAATTTCTTATATACAGCTTCTTTAAAGTCGGCGTAAAGTCGTCATTTTTTCCTTGTCGTGACGTATATCCGAGTGAAACGGCTTCTGAAATTAAATGTAGGGTAGGGCTTGTTTTCGTCCTTCGGGAATTGATTGGATCGTTGGAAGTTGGGCGTGGCATATAAAATGGAGGCAGATTTAAATGCGATTCTCTGAGAGGCGGTTCACCGATAGCCGCACCCTCATCGGATCTGGCCGCACCCTTTCGCCATTCCATGTGACCGAAATAGAAGAGGTCGTTTCGATGGGGGAGGGAAGGGTAATGACTTTGATTAAAGATTATAAAGGGTACATTAATTTTTTAAAATTAATAAAGTGCACAGATAAATCATTTTTATTTGATTTCATGCCGACTTTTAAGAAGTCTCTTATGCTCACCAAGGCTGCATTTATTTGATCATAAATTCAGTAAAAAACATAATATTGTGAAATATTTTTACAATTTAAAATAACCATTTTCTGTTCTAATATATTTAAAAATGTAATTTATTCCATTAATGCAAAGCTGAATTTTCAGCATCATTACTCCAGTCTTCAATGTCACATGATCCTTCAGAAATTAATTTAATAGGATGATTTTCTGCACATTTTCTGCTCATTTAGATTTTTTTTTCAGGATCTTTTGATGACGAGAATATATATATATATATTATATATATATACTGTGTATATATATATATATATATATATATATATATATATAGTATGCTATGTTATTCTATTTGAAATATATATATTTTATGACATTATGTGGTATTGTACTGAAGTCAAATTCCACCTTAAACAACATAAAAAATCTAATTTCAACTGAGAGCCATCTTAGAGAGGTAACATGTGGCGGTAAAGATCAGTGAATAAACTGCCTTCATATTTGCTAATATTTACACAAGATCAAAAAATGAGATAAAGTTAGGCTGCATGCTACATGGAAATGACATGTTAGATTAAAGTAATAAAATCTCCAATCAAACCAAACACAGCTATTCCAACAAGGCTGGAATATATAAAACCCTTGTCAAAGAAGAGAACCAATGACACACTAAAACAATTGTTTCGACAAATCCTTTTCAATCCTCGACATGCTGCTTGTCACACATTAATTATCAAGGCCTATCAATTATCTATGACAGAAATAGCTGGTGGAATGGAAATAATGCCACCAGGCAGCCTAGAAGAGGAACCACAGGACTTTAATGAAATAGTTTTGAGCTGGAGCAACAAATATGCCATGGCTGTGAAAAGAGCATGTTACTGAGGCCACGCTCTCTATACTATAATCCTATTTCTCTAGAGCGAGCCAACTCAGGCCTGTCTCAGATGCTGCACATACTGGTCTTTGCAAATCTCTCCATGCTGCACTATAGAGTCCTTTGACTGGAGAGATCGTTTCAATTGGATGGATAAGATAATATTCACTCGATTAGTTGCCAAGCTCTCCGGAATTCTGATTGGTCACGTGTGGAACTAAATGTTATTGAGTGGAAAAATACTTTTGTGTTATGGCTGTTAAATAATACCCTGTTGTCCATGGAAACATAACAATGTTCTCTCCTTTCTCCTACTGTACAACAGATGTTAGATAGCTAAATGTTGCCATTTTCCGCTGCTAATACATTGACACACAGCATGTAAGATACGCTGCTGTTATGAATAGATTAGACATACATAAATCCTGTAGCAGATCTAGGCAGGTGGAGATGGGGGAGGTGGAGGATTTCAGAGGGAATACATAAAAATGTTTTTACTTACATACTTTGCATTGCATATAAATAAATACAATCATTATATTTGTCTTGTTTTCATTGCAATAAATTACATTTCTTAGCTAATGCCTTAAGATCATTTACAGAAATAATGTAAATAATATTCCTAAACAGTTAAAATGCCTGATGTGAATAACGAGTTTAATGTGAGCCTTATAGAGCAGTGATGTTGTTGTCATAACTCTCGTCTAATTTGATTTGCTATAACTCAGTTTCCTGCAGTTAGCCTGGTGCACTTTAATTGGAAACCTTGGACTGTCTAACAGACCACTCTGTTTTGTGCAGAACTGATGTTTGTGACATATTTGCAGTCCACTACAAGCCTGAGTTAAAGCGTTTTATCTGCGTATTAAAATTGATCTCCGTCCACATTAAAGCGACTGAATACGCGGATCACGTGACAATTCACCAACACTTGGCATGCGCGTGCCGGTGTAAACAGTGGCTGACGAATCAGGGAACGACACGTCATGACTGACGACAACCCAATCATTGAGCCGAACGTGAGCCTCTGCATCAGCGTTTCTGAAGTCCTCCGTTTTCTCCCGTCTTCACTAAAACGCCCTCCGGAGATTCAAAACGCAAAACGGAGCTGCAGCGTTTCTAAACTTCTCCGTTTTGGGTCTTCATTTTTTCCCGTTTTAGTCTGGACGGTAGGTGCAAACGTAGCAAAAGGTCTCCGTTTAATTAAAAAATCAAAATCGCAATTCTTATCGGTATCGAAACAATAATTTTGGTATCGTGACAACACTAGTAGCAATAAATAATAGCATGTTTGAAATAAAGCTGAGCGCAGTTGCATGGATACAGTGTTCCCTTGTGGCTCGCGCAGTCTTCACTCGGACGCGCAACTTAAAACTATCGCCATTGCGTGTACTAACCATTAAAGTAAACGTAAACAGTTGAAAGGAAAACGCATGTGCAACAGTATGTTGGATATGTGCTGCTCTTAAAGTGACAGCAGCCTAATAAACCTACAGCTACCAGTTTGTCCTCAATGTTATTCTACAAAAGACAAAGAGAAAATCACTCACTGCACTAGACTGGTTGAGACCTGCTGGAGCAACTCTAAATATTCAATGTGCTGCTATTAAATTAAAGATAAAAAGAGCAATAATATGAATAATGAAAGTAACAGCAGCTCCTACAAAACATTCCCTCCAATGCATAATTAGGCATGAAAATAACTATTTGCTAAGCCAGATCACATTCTTTTAGTTTCTCTGACCAATTTTTTAAAAATGCATTGAAACTAAAAGTATCGACACTAAAGTCTAATACTAAAAATGACATTGTATCATTATTGGAATCGTGACGCAAAAGTGGTATTGTGGCCTCCTCATTTTAACATCGGATTTTTAATATCCAGAAACATTAAATTGTTTAAATTGTTACTGCCTTCCTTTAGTTATTATTTTGGAATAACACATTATTCCGAGCCGCCGGCCTGAAATTGCAAGTGAGATTTTTCCACTCACGGGCACCAGGGGGGGTCGAGACGCCCCCCATTCAACCCGAAAGAAGTCATATAACCATTTCAATAACTCTCAAGCTGTTAAATTAAGCTAAAATAACTGCATAGTGTCCCTTTAACAAGAAAAATGTGACAATTTAAGTTTAGCTGGGACAGTGTGTATAGTGCAATGTCCATGCACTCAGTTAAATCTTTACTAATATGGGCAAGTGCAACAAAATGGATTTCTTTTTATGTGAAACAGTTTTTTTTTTCATTCATTAATGTGTGTGTGTGTGTGCATTTGTACTATTCACACTGGCTCTGGTCAGTTGCCAGACCTAAAGATATGTGCCAGACTACAAGTTCTGGAAGCATGGCGAAAGGACCGGACAGGCCACATCCCCCACCTGCCTCCACTTTCTGCTAGCCTCAGAGTCTGTCTGTGCCAACCTGCTGAAACCTGTTGACTAAATAGCTGGGTCTCACTGCATACATACATCAGTGCCAGTGCCACCGCAATAGGGCGCATAGGCTGCTAACTTTAATGCCAAGACACATTCATCAAGTCAGCAGCATCAGCGAATGCCAAATCTCTGTTGACTCCACCCTGACATGCTCACACCCATTGCCCTCTAATCCTTCAGCATGAAACCCCATTATTATAGCAAGACTGTGAATTATTGAACAATAAGACAAAAGTGTCTATCTTGTTATGGTTGAGTCAAGTCAAGCTTACATAATAAGAACAACCAGTCTGCATCATTCAAGTGTGAAATGTTTTCAAGAACATGTGCGGCTACCAGGCATCCTTCAGCAATCTGTGTTTGATTTTCAACATGAGAGAGACGCGGCATTGCCTTATCAGTATGACAGGACACAGAACACCAGAAGTACTTTCCATGAATTGTGCTTTGAAGCGATGTTGGACCAATGGAAAACAGTAACTTTTGATAAATGAATTATTCTTCTGTATGGCATTGTTGGTGGGAACATATACAGTGGGAATGTTCTTTAAAACAAATGAAAGCAGAAGACTAGCCTGGATGCCAGCCAGCCCGACCCACCCACAACATTTTTTTGGTCGGGAAGTTCGGTCTGGACTCGATCCATTGAGAAGTAATTATGATCAGTAAAAAAATGTTCGGGCCAATCAAATTGCCAGGTCGGGCTTTGTACGATTCATTCAAAGAGATAGGAGCAGCACTTGCATGCCTGAGAGGCGTTTTAAAGATGGCCGCTGAGTGAAATGACTCGTCTGAAAGGGACCTTAATATCACTCATCTTGGTAACCCCTTGTACTCACAAAAATAAATTAATTGCAGGTGACTGTGAATAGCATATTTCTACAATATCGTCGGAAAAAAGAAAAAAAAAAGTAAATTTTTTAATCTTTCAAATCTTCATGTGGAACTTTTTTACCCTCATGCGAAACTCTCGATCACGCAGATTTCTCGCAAAAATCTTTCAGACAATGGTAAATGTTGGAGCAGAATGCGAGCTTGCAGAGGTGGGTTTTTAAACTAAATGGTTTTGGAAGTTCTAAATACCAAAAATGTAAAAATTTAACATATGCACAGATGAATTTTTCACAATCAAATATATAATATGCATTTAGAAAACAAACAGGATGAATTTTCATTTCATACTGACTTTAATGGCTCTCTTAAAGGGATACTCCACTTTTTTTTGGCTCATTTTACCACTCCCTCAGAGTTAAACAGTTGAGTTTTACCATTTTCGAACCCATTCAGCCGATTTTCTGATATTTAGAAGAATATCAGTAACCAGACAGTTTCTGGTCTCATTGACTTCCATAGTAGGAAAAAAATATACTATGGAAGTCAATGAGACCAGAAACTGTCTGGTTACTGATATTCTTCTAAATATCAAAAAATCGTCTGAATGGATTTGAAAACGGTAAAACCCAACCGTTTAACTCTGGGGGAGTGGTAAAATGAGCCTATTTCCAAAAAATGTGGAGTATCCCTTTAATTCCTAAAAGATGAATATTAACTATGGACAGACTACATATAATTTACAATGCACCATTTAGTTTTACATCACTCTTAAACTGACCTTTTGCGACTGCTGCATTTAAAGCCGTCGATCACGTACTTGCTGAAACAGCAAATCGTGCAGGCGCAAGTATGGTGGTCATACATGTTATACAGCCATCTACATGTTTCTTCTGTATCAAGTACAGGCAAACTGAGCAAGCAAAAATTAAATGAGTTGAGGTTAGAAGCCTGCCAAGGGACATTTGCAAACACTGTCCCAGCATTTTGCATCACAGTCAGAGTGTGTATGCATATTGGAAGCTATGCAAAGATTTACGCAAGTTGTATGAGATTTCAGGAGATTAAAAAAAGACACAGGAGTCACTGGCTCTCTAAGCACATGGGGAAAGTCCAGACTGGCCAAGCTCAGAGCTGAGGCTAAACTTAGGAAACTGACACAATGTCCAGGAATGAGCCACTGAGTCATTCTGTGAAGGAGGGTGGACACTGCATCTCAAAAAGGACTTTCAGTTGCTTCTGAAATAATCTAAACGAATCAGTCCAATATTACATGGAAACGGTTACGACATGACCTGCATGCTGATAAAAAAATAAAAGTGGGTTTAAACAAAACATTTTCATTGATCTCTTGCATTCTGTAAATAACCTACACATTAAACAATCACACTCCAATTATACAAACTTGTACTGTTTCACACAAATGTTTGCTTTAGTAAGACATATTTTGAAGCAATTTGATGGCTGATTTGTCTATGGAAAAACCCCAGGGAGGATAAGTTTAGTTTAATGCCCTATTTATCTGTCAAAATAAATCTGGGCAATCTCTACATTTTCCAGTCCCACAAAGTTTTATTTTTATTTTTTTGAAACAGCAGAGTGTTGATTTGGTTTCTAAACATCACAATTTCCATAAGCTGGGAACAAATCCATTCCACAACAAGTGCACCCCTTTGAGACTGTTCCCATGATGTATTGTGGCTTTCTGGCACAGAGCAAATGATTGTTTCCTTTCCAAATATGGTCTGAGCTCGCACAGACATCAGAGACGTCCCATGGGTATGGAGGACATGGCCGGACAAATCTCGTCCTTATCAAAGAAGCTGTATAGTGAGGTATCCAACACATGACACCAAGCAATGTAAGAATTTTATTTTAGATATCGGACACAAAGCAGAGACAACCACAAAGTCGCTTAGAGTACTCCAAAAGCAATCAAATCTTGAATAAACACCAAACTATTGACATTATCTTAGTGCATAGTAACACTTGTTTAGTTAAAACAGATAGGTCCTGGATTCTGGTAACAGCATCCATCATTATTTTTGGTTCATGGTAACACTGGTTTTGTCAGGGACTGTATAAGTTATAGTAGGCCTATGCCAATTAAAGGGATAGTTCACTTTGAAATTAATTTTTGATATGTTTTAGCTTAACTCAAGGGCATCCAAGATGTTGGTGTCTTTTTTTCCACAGTATTTTCAATTTTGATATTTTTAGGTCAAACCATTCTTGTCTGTCATTTGGAGGTGTATGGGCGCAGACAGAAGCGCCCCCGCCCTCAGAGTACTTGGACGTGACTGTGATTACAAGAGGTAAAAAACAATGTTTTCTTACACAAACCACTCATTTCGTGTCTTAGGCCATCAATGTGTACTTACATTTACAAGTAATTAAATCATGTATGTTTAATTTGGACTTCTCTGCATGCGCTTTGAGGTGGACCCATATACATCCATTATATGACTGACAGACGAGAACGGTTTGACGTAAAAATATAAAAATTGTAAATACTGTGGAAACAAAGACACTTACATCTTGGATGCCCTTGAGGTAAGCTAAAACATATCAAAAATTAATTTCAAAGTGAACTATCCCTTTAATAAAATAAAGTGTCCTTTTTATGCAGTAATGATTTTATAAAAGCAATAAACTGCTGTGCTAAATTGTGAATAGACTACATTTAAATAAAAATGTTTATTTTTTACAATCGAAGTGTCTTTTTTTACTCCATCACAGACCCGGGTCTCTCTAGTCTATTGAGATAGCTGGATAAAAGCAAAACCAGGAGTGGATCTAGAGAAACACTTTACGGAAATTGTCGGTCTCTCCGTTCCACTCATATTAGCCAACGTACAGTACAGAACTGCACACACAAAGCTTGATGCTGATGCTTCTTTGAGAACTATGTTCGTTGGTAGGAAGGACATATCTAATCTATCAGTTGTTTGACACATTTGTAATTCTATATTCATTTTCATAGAACTGTTGAAAGCAATAGACGTGCGGAATCGTAGACGCGAATATCAGCACGCACCTGCCGCAAAATTACAGCAGTTCACTGTCCTTTTTGCTCGTGTGATATTGATAATGGTGTTGTCATAGTGATAATGAAGATTAAAATGATCCACATAGGCCTAAGGTTTTCTGTCATACTAGCCCACAGCTTGCCAGGAATCTTTTTTCACAGCCTGACAGTTTATCTTATGACTGCTATGATGAACATTAGACTACTGTATGTGTTCCCTTCATTAAATGATTACGCTATCGCATCCGTGTCACGCTTCATAAACTAAATTGCACTAAGAAGACTGTATACGGATTAACGATGAGTCGAACTTTGAGCCAAACAAGTTTTGTAAGTTCAATAGGAACAAACAGTCATTTCCAAAGCCAAATTAAGGTACGTAAACGATTTACTTACCAAGTATGCCCCCACTGTGCCCTGTGCCAACATAAGAGCACATTCCGCCACTAAAAATATCTTAATATTTGAGAAACACGAGGGTTTCTTTTCATCCCGCTGAGGGTCCTCGGAGCTCCTCTTTTTCACTTGCATCCTGAACAGTCCAAACGCCAAAAAAGCAGCTATAAATTATTGTAAACGGAGAATAAACGCAAAGTCAAGCGTGTCTTGATATATCTGTAGGCTACTAGCTATACTATAACTGCTGTTGTTTACAGTAAGACTCAGTGCCGCGTGACAGACTTTTCATTGAAACTCCGCCGATGAATGCAGACGAACTAAACTCTCCTCCTTTGCGCTCTATCGCGGAAACGGAGGATAAAAGGTCGCTGGTTTTTACTCCAAACATGTTTCTTTCCCCCCTGAGACTGTCCGAGCACCCGTAGCGTTAGTGTTTGCTCGTATTCCGTCACCATCGCTCGAGTCCGCATGCTTGATTCTCCGCCTCTGTCATTATGACTGACTGACTATGTGAGCGTGTCTACCGGTCGGTCTTGTACAGTAACACGTTAGAGGCGCTGTGATGCACACATCATAATCTGAATGCTTTACTGACTCGCGTATATTCAAAATAAAGCCACATTGAAAGGTAAAAACATGTTTTAAATCATTCCTGTCAGCAATTTTCTGGGTGAATTCGGATCGTTATGCGCAACACAACATTGTTTTTTAGGCGAACTTATCTTAAATATGTAAACAACACATATATGATATATTTTGATGTGTTAATACAACATAAAAGGAAAAATAAATGTCAATAACTATTTTATCACGTAACAAGCGATTTCTGAAAACCCTGTGGAAACCCATAGGCTACACAGGGTTGTTTTAACTCAACTTTGGGTCAAATATGGACAACCCCAAACGTTGGTTTAAAATGTTATTAAAAAATTTAACCCAATGGCTGGGTTTGTCCATATTTGACCCAGAGTTGGGTTAAAACAACCAAGCAATTTTTTAGAGTGGGCCACACACGCATACAGTAGATAGTACAGTAGCCTATACTACAATTCATACAAGTAACATACATGCCAACATAGGCCTGGCGTGAGGATGATCATATTTGGGGATACGCAGACTAAAAGATTGAAAATCCTTCTTTTGAACTAAGTCCTACAGTGTAGAGTTGCATACAGTATTGCCTGATGGGTTTGCAACCTTGTAACTTTTTATGCTGAATTATTATCAAACAGGTTGTGAAGTTGAAATAACATGTTTAACAGCTTCATTACTCAGCTAAAATTTTGAGAGACAAGCTTTTTGTTTTTTCATCTGTGGGCACAGTGCGAACAGACTGAGTTTTGAGGAAGAAGAGTGTGAAATTCTGACTCATTCTCATTCTGGTTGCCATGGCAAACGTACTACAGCAGCTGTTAAGTTACGAAGACCTGTTTTCTTTGCTCAACTTTTATGATTATTTTAACATGCATGGATGTCTTGTATAGGTATAATCAACGGTGGAATAGTTAAAGGCATAATTTACCCCAAAATTTGAATTCTGTCATCATACACTCGCCCTCATGTTGTTCTAAACCTGTATAAGTTTCTTTCTTCTGTCATAAAGAAGATATTTTGAAGATTGTTGGTAACCATGGTAGCCATTGACTTAGTATTTTTTCTTTCCTATGGAAGTCAATAGCTACCGTCATCTGACTGTCGCTGTCATTCCTCGTAACATACCTGACAATAAAGCTCATTCTCGTTCTGATTCTGATTAAACCACTGTGGGTTCAACCCTAATAGGACATAAAAAGCATCAAAATACAGCTTTAAAACGGAATATAATCTAAAAAAAACATGCTTTTCCCCAAATGCATAACATATGCATAGATTTACCATGCTTTTTTTTTCATGCACAGCATGAAAAAACTCTAAATCATAGTTTAGTCAGAGACTTGACATGTTAGCATCCATTAGATGCAAAACATGACTTTCTAAGGGGAGAAAAAGCATCCGGCATAAGCAACCCCATATGGCCCATGCATTTTTCATATGGATTTGAGAAACAATGTGATAAAAAAATGTAAAAACTGCATACATTTTATCATAAAACTTATGTTTCAAATAGATAAAATATCAAAAATGCATTTGCTTAAGCATCCATGCGATTTAATTGCTTATAATTAAAGTTCCTTAATCGTCATGTTTAACGGTTATTCATACCCTATAGAGAACGTTTACTATGCTAAAATAAAAAACTATAAATTTAGAGCTGGTTATGTGATGTTAACGTCAACATATACATTAGTTAACCTACAAATGACCACTACATCTCACTAAATGCACAATGATTTGAAACGGATGTCTCTTAAAGAATTAAAGTTGTGTTTATGTAATTATATCACTGTATCAAAACTCCATATTGGGCATCAAAGCATGGCAAGGCTAATATGCATCTATTACTGCATGCATATAATGATGAACGGCAAGTGACCAAAATAACAGAGCCACACACTCCCTGCTCTCCTGAAGTTATTTCCACTCCGCATTCCATGGAAACTCCCTTTATACAAACAAAGAGATACAAAATACTTGGCATGTTCTCATGGAACTGTATTATATTATGTCTGCACATATTAATATAGTATTTTTACAGATTTGTTTCCCTTTCAGAGATAATCAATATCATTGAACAGCACTTTTTTCAAAAAATGATTACTAAATTATTCAACAGCAAATATTCCTTATATTTATAAAATCTTCACATTTAAATTGATATTTATCTTATATTAATATTTTACAGGTTGCAAGTTGAGAGATAACAAAATCAGAAGAATGCAATGTGTTTCCAGAATAGTATATATCTAGGCACTTCATTGACAACACACATTATGGGGAAGGCAGTCAGCAGGCTCTATTGACTCTAATGACTTCTCCATGCACAACGAAGGCTTGCTCATTACACTAATGTGCTTTTTGGTGCTCAAACGGCATGATATTATGACAACACCAGTGGCCCTATATTTTATTGGTAAGCACAAATGAAACAGAGGCTCCCACAGCTAAAATCAATTTACATTTAATTAAATGGCCTGTATTTTGCTTCATAATGAAAAGTGGCACTGTAGTTTTCAAATAAATGCAGCAACAACACTGTTTCGGTACAAATGGGAACAAATTATAACAGGAACAAATTGATGGTTTGGCATCATTCTGCTTCATTTGAGTCTTACTCATGGGCCTGTGGGGGTGCAGACTGAATATATGAGACAAAAAAATGTTAAGAAATACTGCATGGTGGATTTCTCAATATTTCAGCGCTGTACTTGAGGCTATCAGGCAGGTGCAGAGGAATATGACCTGTGGCGCAACATAATAACTCACACAGCGGGCTGGAGTTTCACCTGGAGACAGAACATATGTGATGTCTCCAGATGCCAGCATTTATTAGATACCTTGTTGCAAGATCGCTAGATGAGGCCAAAAAAGTATTTTAACAAGTTATAGTAAAAAAAATTTAGAACCAAATGAAACCACGTGTGGCGTGGGTAAAAAAAACCCATGCTGGTGATGGCCTTGAAACAAATGTGTCTTGAAACCATTTCTCAATTTCAAGGAAGGATCCTTGGAAGCCGGAATTTCGAGGACCCTACGTGATCGACGTCCTGTTCCAATGTCGAGGATCCTCAGAATTTCAACACAGGACTGAGTCCTTCGTTCTGAAAATATCCCATACACAGGAAAGGATGCATATTATTGATCTGACTGTACTGATGTTGTTGTATTAGAAACTGAACTGAACAATGAAATCATTTTTTGCAGAACTGCTTTATAGATGAAATGAACAAATTTAATAATTGGTGATCTTCACAGCAGAACTGAATCAACACTGAATACTTCCCTACATACAGTACGTAGTAGGCAAAAATCAGTATGTGAAAAGAGTTCGTCCGAAAAAATATTGATGGTTTAACTTAAAAAAAGTAAGTAACCTGGTTGCCTTAAAATTTTAAGTTAATTGAACTGGAAAAAGTGAGTTAATACAATGAAGGAGAATGATTTAATCACCAGAAACTCAAAATTATATGTTATCTGAACTAAATAAATTATTTAAGTTGATTTGACAAAAGAAAAAATGTTGTGATTACTAAACTGTAAAAAATATTGTTGGTTTAACTTAAAAAAGTAACCTGGGTTGCCTTAAAATTTTAAGTTGATTGAACTGGAAAAAGTGAGTTAATACAATGAAGGAGATTGATTTAATCATCAGAAACTCATGTAAAAAGGGGCACGAAATCGACCCAAATCGCAGAATTCGATTCGTGGTGAAGGTTTCAAGCGTGTTCCGTCTTTTCCATGGCAAAGTGAATTTTAGTTAAATGCGACACATTTAATCTTATGTATTAACTCGTTTCATCTGACTCCATAAAATGAAAAGGGTTTATCAATGATATCTGTGCATCATTTAGTAGTTAATGCTTGACTATTTTTAACTCTAATGAAACTAAAGTCAAAGTCTGTTAGAATAGCCAAATATAACAATTTATTATGTCAGGTAAATGTATTATTACAATTCCACAAGATAATCAGAGCAAACCATCAATTGTTTTAGGACAAAGGAACTTTACCCAACATACTACATGAGCTGAGCCTTGAAGACACAACATCACGGGCTGATCTGAATACAGAAAGCAGCCATGAACTCTTGTGCATTTTCCTTAAATAGAGCCAAACCTTACCTGATCTAATCACCAAATTTACCTGATCCAATCACCAAACTACAATGGACTGAAACCCCCACCATGTTTACTGGGGGAAGGAGAGTTTGCATTCAGACAAAAGGTAGAAAGTGATTAACTCAAAGACACACCCTTTTGTGTGCAAGATATTTCTATATTCTTAAAAACCTTATTACCTTTTCTTTAACTTCTTTGGAAATGAGACATTATTACCAGTCACCCTGAGACTTTTGAAATGATTCTAAATAGTCCTTAAAGATTATCACATTCACATTAAGACCATATTCTTGTGTGAGTTTTCAGTATCATTGACTGAGAGAGTGAAAGAGAGAAGATGCAGATTCAGAGGGAGGGGGTAGGGTGTAAAATGTTAATTTGCAAGCAATACCATTTGTCTTTAGAGGCCACTGGTCAGATATTTTAACTTTAACCAGTTTTTCCAGTCTTACACTCATAATAGGTTATCTCAACTAAAATAACTTATTACAAAGTTGATTTGACAAAAGAAAATATGCTGTGATAACAAATCTTGAAAATATTTTTTACAGTGTATTTTTAAAACAGGGTAACACTTTATTTTAATGTCCTTGTTACATGTTACATGTATCTACTATAGTAATAACTATAACTTTGGCATAATTACATGCAACTATAACCAAACCGTAATCCTATAGTACATGTTAAGTACTACTTGAATAATTTAATCACCGTAACAAGGACACATTCAAATAAAGTGGAACCGCTTACTATCCCATGATGGAAAAGAGCTAAACAAATGTTTCTATAGGTCACGTGACAAAGTCAA